GAGGGGGGGGGGATTGGGTTGAGTGTTTCAAACGGACAGCGGTGTCAGGGTGCTTCAGGCCCTGTTTGTCCAACTCAGACGATAGCCCAACTGATACATCCAAAGTTGGCTTCTAAGTCTTGCACCTCTCACAAATGACAACGGATCACGCTCCAAGCCCTGAACACAGAACGTTGAGGCAGGGTGATGCCGCATGAATCCGTTTCGCCGCGCAACGGGTACCACTTGCCCAGTCGGTTACGAGCCCACATTGGTAGCTGGATCTGCCCCTGGCGAAGGTGATCGAGTCAAATAAATATAGAAGTAGTGATACATTTTTAGATTGTTAATGCGCAAAGTGACGCCATCAACGCACGTACAAGGGAAGAGATATAGTTCGCACATATATGCACAGATTCAATTTCACTGTTGGGAAGATCACTTGGCAGCATTGTGAATGACGTTGGCCTCCATGTCTCAAACATCGTGCTGAAAACCAGCAAGCAGATCAACCAGCTATGATTTGGCTTATTGTTATTGGACATATCGTACAGCTGCACTGTAGTTAATGAATTATCGAACACCTAAAACATCAACCAAACAAAATTACCCAAACATTCTTATCAAGTTCGCCAAATTCAATCCAACTAGTTCTGGGAAAAAAACATGAGTCAACCAACCACCCATTTGCTACAAATAAAAAGGTGAAACAAACCATCAACCAATACTTTTGTCACCAGCAAGTGCTGTTGGTTATCCCCTACTTTTAACCACTATAATCCACTATAAAGCATCCCCTCAACCCTAAACCCCCAACCAAACCATTGCAGTTCTACCATTCATTTCCGGCAACCAGGGGTTTAGGGCTTAGGGACGACGGCCGTGTTGCACAGTTCTGCATAGCTCTACAGCGCCAGCACGGGGCACACAGGATCTGGAGCTGCTGCTGCTGCTGCTGCTAGTTGAGAATCATGACCATGACCCTGCTGAGCTTGTCTAACTATTAATGAGCATATTGTAAATCAGTCTAATCCAAAAAAGCTAACAAACTACAGTTAGTAACTGGGAAGCACATAATTAATCATGAAGATGGGGTAAACCAACCAATAACTAATCAACCAAGGCATCCATGATGGTTCATGGTTGATAATGGGGGATAGTAACCAACAATAGTAGGGAATCATATGCTGGCTATGTATGGCTATGGGCCAACATTGACTATCAATGACGGGGTATCATTAATCAGCAGTAAACTTGGAGATGCAGTGGTTATTGAGGATACATCAGGAGTAATTATAGGGTTTTCGCCCATAGCCATGTGACTCGAGCGGTTTCGTTGTGATGAATATTGACACTTTCCGGTTCCCTCGAACGCTGTTGAGCAAACACACGCCTCTGGTACGTTCTTTGAAATGCATAGCCGTGGTGCGGTCATTGAATTGCATTCGAGAAGCCTATGTTCCCGGGTCACTTGCAAAAGGCTGCCAGCTGCCAAATCCTTTTGAGATGACACTGGACCGTACACAGCACGGAAAACAAAACGCCAACGGCATAATGAGGCGCACCTGGACAATGCGGAATCAACTTCGGCTTGATTTTAACTTAGTGGCATGATGTCATGATCCGGTATAACAATTTTCAAGTGTACCACACACAACTTCTGAAGGTGTTGCACAAGCATGTACTGTATTCATTTATATTCTTCCGGCTTATCATCGTGTCCTCGTGTGACGGAGATCTGGCTCAATCTCATTTCATGCTGCAAGCAGAAAAGAGCCACCACTGCAGCCAAAACATCATGTTTAGCCGATGCCCTACGGAAGATTCAGAGAATTCACTGTCACACTCAGCTTGGCTCAATCGCACAGGGAAGCTTGCGGCGCAAACCGCTGGGTATCTGTGAGCTCCATCAGTGGGGAAGAAACAGAACTGCCAGGTTGCGCGGTTCCCACCAGCTGGCGGGATAAGCGTCAAGCGGAGGCTTGCGGACGAATTGGACGCCTGATCGGTGTTGAAACGTGTCCAGTCCCATGTGTTGACAAGCTTGTCTATTCGGGGTTTGAACCGGATGAGAATCTTGTTCCTACAAATACACGGGGTCAACATTTTTGTGGCAGCAAAACCTCATTTACAAAGAATCCCGCGACACCTCGACGGAGTGGATAGAATGGATGATGCGGTAGTGGCCTGGCCTTTTGTATCCGCTCTGGTTTAACCGCAAACGCTAAGCCTTCAGCTCATCCCATGGCATATGGTAGTTCTGTGAACCTGGTCGAGACCAAAGATCTTGGTGAACGGGACCTGTGAAAAGGTCGGCCAGCCTTCCATCACCACCCACACCTATTGAGCTGAAACTTCCAGGCTTTTGCAGCGGCGCCTCTCCTGGCAATGAGAAGCAATGAGAAGCTTACAAAAGATCTGCGTTTGAACAACTTTCTGCGCGCTATGGCGTGTCATATCTCATTCATCGTTTACCAGCTTAATTGCCACTACTAAGAATTCTTAGCCACTACCAACCGTTTTGATTTAACCAGTACGAACCACGATGAACCACGATTAACCACTACTAACCACTAGTTTTGGTTGGCACAAGCACGATACCAAGGCCTCATCCTCGGAGGGCCGACATTCTGAGAGCATCCGGGACTGGCCTGAATTCCACAATCAGCTCGAAGGCTTCCCGTTCCACCAGGCACGGAACCTTGATCGGTTCAGGAGACCACATCCCCGCTGCAGCCTCTTGACGAGTGATTCGTACGCTAAAGTTAACTTGGTGGCGGATGTATAAGCCCCCATTCCGCACCAGGTGGTTGTAGTAGGACGGTCCATGGTAGTAGTAGTAGTAGTAGTAGTTTTCTCTAGTCCGAGGATCTTGCCATTCTTGACTTAGGTTCACCCATCCATCCGCCTTGTTACCCAGTGAGGACTCGGCAACCAGCCGAACCAAGGGACCGGGTGGATCATTCTCGGACTTGATGGAGGACTGTTTCCACCGGAGGCCACTCCCCGACGTCAGGTGCCTGACTTTTGTATCGCCCCCGAATCCCTCGTTTCAAAGAGCGGACACAACATCTGAAACCTCGGTATCTGAAACATATAGAGGCACCTAATGAAGTAGGCTGAAAAATGGTTAAATACCTTGGCATGATACATAAACATCTAATTAAGCCATCTGTTTCAAAAGCAACCTGTGTTCTGAACGGCCAAGAGGCGCATATTCCACACCGATGGTGACTTCCACCACCTGCAGGCATTCGAACTCAACAGGGGGCTTCGAAGACCTGCAGATCGTTGGTGTCGAAAGTGGCTTTGGATCCGTTCACTGCCAAGGCGGATAGAGTTTCCTTGGTGGTGGCTTTAATCCATGTCAACATGTTGTCCAAACTGGCTAGTGATGCCGGGAGGGTTGACTGTTACGTGCGAGTGAGTTAAGTCGCATCACTATACAGCCTTGGCGGGGACCATGGGGGTCTCAAGTGCTCAAACATGTTATCGGTAGATCATCGGTAGCGTTATCAGTTAAACGCATCGTCTGGAAAGGAAAACACTCTGATCGAACTACTTATACATAAACTAATTAGTTGTCCTTATCGGTGAATTTCCTCTGGTTATCGGTGAAAGCTTTTTATGAAAAGAGCAAAAACTTAAGGGACTTGCCAAGACTAAACCAAAGGGCGCAGGGTTATTATTTACTGTCTAATGAGTGTTGACCAGTTTCGTTGACAGCTGGCAGGCCATTCGAATGAGGCGGAAAGGACAGCCAACAATAGACCCACACCGATGCGCTGCAGTTCCTGGTGCAGTTTTGGGATCTGCAAAAGCGCCAGGTACCACCGTTAGAGTTACCACACCGTTCCGAGCAGGTTCCACCGTTGTCAGAGGTGTGGCATATGACATCAGAAGACCCGAGCTCGCACCCCTCAAGGTCACCAACTAGAAGCTGTTGGGCCTCCTCCTCCAATTCCGATTGACGCAACCCCTGGTAATACTCACTGACCTGCTCCAGCTCGCTCTCGTTCCAATTGTACCCACCGTACTGCCGCACGTTGGGCAGATCCGCTCTTGCATTGAACTCGTCAAAACCAAAGGCGAAGCTCATCTTCTTGCTGCCAACTCTCCAGTGAGCCACACCTGATTGGTGGTTAGTTCACCCCTATGAAAAATGTTGGCCAACCAACCAACCATTTGTTAATACATGTTTGTACTGCGGAAAATAAAACCTGTCCAAAACCACCAGCTAGATGCTGGTTGTTCCGGCAACGAGGGAATTCACTGGCTCGGTCAATCTGGAGACCTCCATGGGAAGAAGATTCTGACACTCCCAAAGAGGCGGAAAAGTGGAGAAGTTGAGATGCCCAGACAAATGCTGGGAGAAGTCGCTGGGCTGGCTCCGCAGGAAGTCCTGGAAACCTGATGATTCCATGGCGGTGGTGGAGTTGAAAGTGATGACATAGTTGCACCAAAATAGCTTTAACCCATCAGAACGCAACTCGAGGAGCTCCACTTCCTCACTGTTTGGAAGCTGCTGCACCATGGCAGCCTTCACGGCTTTGCAAACATCGGTGAAGCAGTTGCTATGATACGGACGACCTGCAAAGCTGAGCTCCACCGTGCCGCTCAGTCTGCAAGCACCCGCCTCCTGGGACCTGCCAAAGGACATGGGCTTGTCCAAAAATGCTGGGGGCTTCAAGTTCCTGGCGCTTTCCCTGTTAGTCACGGCTATCAACTTGGATGAGTAACAGGTACCACGTTAGCCAACCCACATGCTCTATTGAACTTGTTTTGCGCGTACGGTCAATGATCATGGATGCTGACGCAGGATTCATAGCCAATAATCTTCACAGAAGCCCTTTGATCAACCAATGTCAGGCGCATCCCCAAAAATAGCTGTTAATCGGAATTCTGAAATGAGAGTCATCCCAAATAGAACGTCGCGCAACAGATCACAGGCAGCACAACAAATCTTGATGGTTATCACCCATTGAAACCGTTGAATAATGCGAATCTAGGCTTCTTGGCTGATGGAAACATTTCGTCGGATGATGTCAATCTCTGGCACGCCGTAGGGCGCGGGCACCCAGCTGTAGGCCAGGCCGAGAAGGCCAAGGACGAACCACGTTCTGAAAGCACCACATGACATCATCGCTATATAGCCACAGGACTGAACAACACACCTTCAGCTCTGATCTCTATAGGACTCTAGCCAAACATATCAGTACCAAGTCGGATGGGCGGTTGACACAGTAATCCAAACATGTAAAAACCAACAGTAGCCAGCGATACAGTTCAAATGGTTGAATTGGCTGAAGACTATGAAGAATCAGAATAGTTATTCAAGAATCGCCATCCACAGTCTTCAGCACAACATGACACCAGATCGGTGAGGAAAAATAAAAGTGCGTTACTCAAACAAGCCAACCCCACGCACATGAAGGGCATTGTTGAGTTGCCATCATGTTCCCCTTCTACCGCGCACAAAAACCCAACATTGACCGCGAATAATACGGATTATAGTAGATTGGTGTCTATATTGGGGCCCTTCAGCTGTGAACACATGATTCCTAGATCTTCCCCAAGCCCAGGGAGCCAAATACCCCTTAACAACAAAAGATGTGCCTTCAATCACATAAGGTATCCTAGTATCATGTAAAGACTATTCTTCAATTAAGGGGTGTCGGGGTCTCTGGTACACAGCAGTTCCCTGCCTCTGCCAGATCGTGCTGGAGTCCCTGCAGCCTCGGACGTTTTGAGAAGATGGGTGGTAAGTGCCAGGATCCTCCTAATACCCTTCATTAGAGTTCTAGGGTCCCTAAGGGCGGCTGAATAGAGAGTAGTTGGAGTTGGAAGGTCCAAATGTATTGGACTAAACCGTTCTCTCTGACTCTCTGTCCATACATTGCACATGTACCCCTATAACTCACCAGCTTCCATGTCATTCTCCATTTTCTTCCCCATTCGATTCTCCATTGTTGGGTTATAACTGCCCTGAACCCACATCTCGACCCTCCAACCACCCTCTATTCTGGCCTAAATACCCGCAGTTGAGGGTCCTAAACTCTAAACCCCTCAGCCCTGGGCCCCGGAACCGTTAAATCCTCAACCGCTAAAACCCTATACCCTCAACCCCTAAACCCTAACCCCCAAACCCTAAATGACAAGTTTGAGGCACGAGCTCTCGGGTGAGGTCAGACACCATGGTGCTCTCAGCGGTCTGAGCCTCGCGCGTCAAGTTCTCAGTTTTTGCCAGTGCAGGAACAACTAGGTAAGTCTCCTGGACCGCCACAAGCGGTGCTTTTGCAAACGGGCTTTTCGTCGTTCTGTCTGAAGCGCTAAACCCTTTCAGATTTAGGGTTCAGGGTAAAGGGTTTGGGGTAATTATAGGGTTTAGGGTTTAGGGCAATACAGGACCACATCTCAAGCTCTAAATTAGCCCCTTGATCCCAAACCTAAACCCCGACACCTAAACCCACCACCTCCAGCCTAAACCCTAAAACCTGCAGCCTCAACCTTGGCTGCAAGGCTTCACCCCAAAAACCTAAACTGCAACAGTCCTTTGTGGCGTGTGTGAAAAAAACATGGT